CATCCAACCCACGTTGGGCCGCCCCCGCAGGGGTCAAATATTTTTTTTTATATTTTTCCACTGTTCCAGACCCTCCTCCCTGCGACCCCGCATCGACGAACCTGCACAGGGGGGACGCTGGATTTTTTGCGGCCCACCCTTCCAGGGTCTTGTGCAGGACCCCCCCGTTTTTTCTTTTTTTGACGCCCTGTCACTTTGAGGGGGTGCCCCCCCACCCCCCCACCCCAAACCCGCTCCCCGCTTCGAAAACCGCCCCCCAGATTGGCCGACACCGAGGCCGGAAAAACTCGGCCGGGCCGGCCTTGGCCGGGGGGGTCCCGGCCTAGGCCTAGGCCGAAACCGGCCGCGGCCAGCATGCAACATAGTTGCCACATGCCAGTTGGTTAAATCCATCCACCTTGCGTGCGAGAATCCAAAATAAAATATTTGTGAGTTTTCCGGGCTCTTCCAGCAACGTGGTCGAAGCAGGGAGCACCGCACATTTGTGCCTGGGTGGTTGGGCATGCGTAACCAATTCGGTCCCAGGCCGCTGTCTGAACGGGCCTGGGCGCAGACACTTTGGCCAAGACTGAAGCTGCTGGGAACTCGGTCTCATGTGGGAAGGAAGTGGGAAAAGCACCCGCCACTTTCCATATAGGAAAGGGCTGGGCTCTGGTCGAGACATTCGGGCACTTGGTAGAGCGAGAGGCAGCGCTGCTGGAGCAAGCGCTCGCGTGCTTCTGCCAGTGCCAGTGCAGAAGCCTGCGTGTGCGGTACCGCGTGGGAGAAAGGCGCTGCTGTGGGCAGCGCCATAGCCCAGCCGACGTAGCCGGGCTTGGGCTTGGACAGTCAGCAGGAGGTGGCGGTGGTCTTCATGTAAGAGGGAGAAGACGTGGGTGATGAAGTCGAGGGTGAGAGAGAGAGAGAGAGATGAGGTTGATCATCATGTGATGGCATGTACCTGGTCTTGGCGATGGTCTACAAGCGTAGACATCTTCATGTACTTCGGTTCTGCTGCTGACGTCAACTGGATGCATTGTAGATTTGTAGGCTGGAGGTAAGCTGTGTGATCGTAGTCTGCGCTCTGAGCGCCAAGTAGGAGGAAGGGTTCCGGATACATATGTTGGTGACCCTTGTAGACCATCGCCAAGACCAGGTACCTGTGTTGGTGATGGCGAGAGTATGCTCTCATTGACATTCGGATTCTCGGTGATTTGGTTCTCCGTTGGTGAATATCGGTGCATTTCTCCTTCTGAACAGTGTTGGACTTGCTGGCTCTCAAATTTCAATGTGATTTTGCACTCTGGATTTTCTGTCATTTCGCTATCGCTCATTTTTTATTTTTCCTTGCACATCTTTTTTGTTCTTTATTTTCTTTTTTTTGTTGGTTAAACCACCAGTGCCTCTCTCAGCCCTTTTTTTTTTTTTTTTTTTTTTTCCCTTCTGGTTGGTTAAATCACCGGTGCCACCCCCCAAGGCCATTTTGCTTCTCACGCATTTGTAAACTTTGTATACAACCACCATCATTTTTTTTATTTTTTTTTTTTTATTTTTTTTGACGACCACGGCAATTGCAATTTTTTGGTGGGTTGGCCTACCAGATCTCTTTGGCCTTCTGAGCCGCCCGAAAAGGAAAAGCAATTGCGCCATGCCATGCTGGTTCGTCTCTTTTTTGGCATGCAGCATGAATCTGCCCCAGGAGAAAAGAGGCTCATGGGTATTGGTGATTTATAAAGTCTAGACCAGTTTCTCTTTTATTGCCTCGCCAAGAATATGGGGCTCACCACGCCACTGTCGAAAGACTGAAAATTTTGACGGCTGTCAGAATAAATTCGACGGCCGCCCTCTCGACAGTTTGCCCCCCTTTAGGGCATAGTTGCACTACTCCCCATCATCCACCACAGTTTGTGATGGATGTGTGGAGAGTTAAAAAAAACAACAACTAGAATCGTGTCGAACTGGAGGCCTGGTTGCACTTACTCCGAGTCGCCAGTATATTTAATCTACAGAAATTTTCCCAGAAAAGTTGAAAAAAAATTGTCTGCCTGATCTCCACTCGTGAAGCCGTGCAGTCGCCAAGAAGTTGTTTTGCGGAGAGGTCACGAGGATGACCCTGCACAAAATAGCAGTAGAGAGTAGGGAGCTCCCCGCACTCTGTGGCGGATTGAAAAAGGAAACTCGGCAAAAATTTCTGACATATTTTTCATTCGCCAAGTTTGGCGAGTAATTCGGGGGTGCCTACCTCGTAGTGGGCACTGGGCCCTCTTTGTTTAAAAAAAAAAAAAAAAAAACAGGCGCCTACTCGCCAAACTTGGCGTATGGAGAGTAGTGCAACCAGGCCCTTAGCAAACACAGCACTGTAGAACGAACGCACTTGTGAATGCAAGATGGGAAAAGACGAACGCGCCTGAGGGTAAGACATGAGTCCATCCCGACCTCACACGCATTCACCAAATTTCGAATTCGAAGACAGAAGTCGATGGCGCAGCCGAGGACTGTCGGACTGTCAAAAGCATCGGAGTCCCAGGAGGCTGAGCGAGGTCGGGATTCAACAGCTTTCGGAAGGAGGAGGTGTCGAGAAGCATTCTCTGACAATTTGCGGCGAATTTTCTTCACGTCTCCAAATTTCGACAGGCTGTGTGGCCAGGCCAAGAGAAACTATCGAAAATAGTGTTTTGGGCAACAGTGGTGTGGCGAGGCCCTATACCTAGTTTGCGAAATAGACTCATAGAATGCAGCAGAGGAAGAAAGCGACGAGGTTCTTAGTACTGCGTAGGACCTCTGAAAGTATATGTCAGGGTTGTCCTCTCAGCTAATGAAGAGCCGCAGACTATATATAGAATAGATGATCCTTAGGTATAGGGCTGAGGACTTGAGGACAACAAAGGTTCAGACTCTTCAGAGTATTCAGACACCCGCACACACACATGATATTTGGTGGTAACTTAGTGCATGAACCTGTCCACGATTTGGACCACATTCGTACCACCCTGGGACCAAACAATGACAATGCAGGTAGATTCACCGTCAAGCTTAAGAGGGGGGGCTCGGACGGGAGACACCGACCTTGCTACGACAAAATAGACGGAGTCTGCCTTTGCTTGAACAGCCGTCTTCGTGAAGGCAAGCTTGTCCGCCGGCCATAGCTCATCTCCAAAGAAGCTGCTTGTGTACAATACCTGGTCTCCCGCTTTCAGCCCTGCCTTGGCCGCATTCCCGCCAGGTTGCACGTTCTGATGGCCATTACCCAACAATAAAAAAAGCATGTACATGATACATCAACCAAATGCAAACGATTATGAGCTTCAAAGTTCAAATCAGATTCTTGAAAAGCATGGAGGAGGAGGAGGAGGACAAGAGAAAGGGGATGGTAGTGGAGTAGGAGGATGGCAAGCAGCAGCTGCTGGGGCAGGAGGAGGAGGAGGAGGAGGAGGAGGAGGAGGAAGGGGAGTAAGAAGAGGAAGAGGAAGAGGACAAGAAGCAACAGCGAGGAGGAATAGGAGGAGGGCCAGGATAAGGAGGAGGAGGAGG